ACACGCTGAGGGCTCATGACCAAAGGCTTCCGCATAAATCTTGGAACCCGATGATGAAGGCGCTGGCATGAGGGCCAGACGTTGGTCATGAGGGCGGTGGCATGAAGGCACACGCTGAGGGCTCATGACCAAAGGCTTCCATATAAATGTTGGAACCTGATGATGAAGGCGCTCGCATGAGGGCCAGACGCTGGTCATGAGGGCGGTGGCATGAAGGCACACGCTGAGGGCTCATGACCAAAGGCTTCCATATAAATGTTGGAACCTGATGATGAAGGCGCTGGCATGAGGGCCAGACGCTGGTCATGAGGGCGGTGGCATGAAGGCCACACGCTGAGGGCTCATGACCAAAGGCTTCCATATAAATGTTGGAACCTGATGATGAAGGCGCTCGCATGAGGGCCAGACGCTGGTCATGAGGGCGGTGGCATGAAGGCACACGCTGAGGGCTCATGACCAAAGGCTTCCATATAAATGTTGGAACCTGATGATGAAGGCGCTGACATGAGGGCCAGACGCTGGTCATGAGGGCGGTGGCATGAAGGCCACACGCTGAGGGCTCATAACCAAAGGCTTCCGCATAAATCTTGGAACCCGATGATGAAGGCGCTAGCATGAGGGCCAGGCGCTGGTCATGAGGGCGGTGGCATGAAGGCACATGCTGAAGGCTCATGACTGAAAGCTTCCGTCTGGCATGAGGGTTCAAGACTCTTGTGCCCTCCTTGAGGCTGAAGGCTCCTGGGAGAGGTAATGCTGAGGGTTTGTAGTTGTGGACTTAGCCAAATTTTGGTGAAGTCTGCTGGTGAGCCTTCTTCCTTGCAGTGGAACCTTCATGTAGTAGAGCCTTCGGACATGTAGTCGAATGACTTTGTATTTAGAGATTCCCTTGCATCTTTAGAAATAGCCTTCGGGAATGTATCTCTGGATTGTTGTTGAGCCTCCGGGGAGAAAAGTATCCGGGGAGTTCCTTCCCCCCTACACATCTTTTTCTTTCTTTTTTTCTTTTTTTTTTGTTTTTTTTTCGCATGTTGTAGGAGGGGCATCAAGAAACTTGGTTTCAAGGAAAGGCTTGGCCTATATGGGAGGCAACGGAGCAAACCGTTGGCTCCCCCTTCGGGAATGACCTTCCGATATCCCGAAGGGTTTGAGGGTCGTTTCCTCGGCCCGAGACATCGTCTGTTGCCTGCTTCCCCTTGGGGGATAGCGCGGAAAGCGCCTCGGTTTTGAAAGTCGTCCCCTCAGCCCGAGACATGGTCTGTTGCCTGCTTCCCCTTGGGGGATAGCGCGGGGAGCGTTTCGTTTGTGAAAGTCGAATCCTGGGCCCGGGACATGGTCCGTTGCCTGCCTCCCCTTGGGGGATGGCACGGAAAGCGTTTCTGGGAAGGGTTTTATTTGTGTGTAGAACACAAATAGCCGGGGGCACTTGGTACCAGCCGGAGCCGAAGGGTATTGTACCCCCCGTTTTTTTTTGTTTTTTTTATGTATGTATGTATGAGTATGCATGAAATATGCATGGGGGTGTCCTCGAGGGGAACGGCTTATTGAAAAACACTTGGTGTTTTTCAAGAATGGTGGGCGTATTGGCGCACCTTGTATTTGGTACATTGAGTCATCCTCGCGGAGAGGAGGGGCCTTGGGCCGTAAATCACCCATGTTGGTGAATGATGAGGGCTTGGCCGCTCATACGTTCTCTTGGAAAAAGATGGGGCCTTTGGCCTGTGAGTCAACATTTTGCTAAGGGGATGAGGGCTTGGCCCTTAATCCATCCTCATAAGACGAATGGGACCTTGGGCCGTTTGATCGGTGAGTGATGAGGGCTTGGCCGCTCATATGCTCTTTGGAGAAAGAGGGGGCCTTGGGCCGGTGAGCAAATATATTGGTGGGGGTTGTCCTTCCGAACCCCGAGGGGTTTGAGAGTCGTTTCCTCGGCCCGAGACATAGTCCGTTGCCTGCCACTCCCTTGGGGAATGGCACGGAAAGCGTTTCAAGGAAGGGTTTTATTTTGTGAAACACAAATGGCCGAGGGCACTTGGTATCTGCCGGAGCCGAGGGGTATTGTCCCCTCAGTTTTTTATGTGTATGTACAATCATGCATGAGGGCATCCTCAAGGGAACAGCTTGCATGAGGCTCTCAGGTCCTCATGGCTACAACACTTGGTGTAGCCGGCGATATACTCGCCCTTCGGCCTCGGCGCCTGACGCGGAGGGCTAGTTTGGGATGGTGGCGAGGGAGAAAGAATTGTTTTTATTAAGAGGCGATATATTCGCCCCTCGGCCTTGCGCCGGGAGAAGCTTGATTAATTCTAAAGCCTTGGGCTTAGGGTAAAGAGGCTATTTTGAAAAAATTTCTTAAGGTGTTATATATACATATATATATATATATATTAATAAATCACGAGTGGCGATAGTAATAGAGTATAACCGCTGCTTGGGGCCTGTAGATAGGAGGAATTCATCTGGCCGAAGGGTCCCTCCTTCCTTGAACTTGACCTTAGCTAAGAGTTTAGGGTTGCAATGTGCTCATGGGATGGTGATGGGGGCCTTACGCCGATGGCCGAGGGGTACCGCCGAAGGGCGTCGCGTCGTGCCGCCGAAGGGCACCAAGTGGCATCGCCGAGTGCCGCCGAGAGCTATTGACTGGATGGGTGGGTCTCAGATTTGGGAGTTTCTGGAGCAGCCGCCACCTTGGTTACAATTGGGGGCCTCTCAAGAGGGAAGTGAGGAACCCAAACTCTGACCAAGGAGTTCCAACTTGGCCGAGGGAACTTTGGACGGGAGATACGTCCTCCCACTCGGATAGTGAATCGGGAGGGACTCACTTGATGTGTTATTCTCATTTTGGTAGGTGTTTTTTGTTTGGTGAAGGGGAGGGTTTCTTACTTGATTGTTCAGACCTCTCAACGAGAGCACCAAATGATGGATAGTCTACCCGGGGGGTATCTTATCCGAGGGGTTATTGCGGGAATAACTAGAGAGAAGTCAGAGTAAATAGGAGGAGAGAGAGTCGATTTTATTAAATGAACTCAGCGTGTGGGAGTTCGGTCGTTTACAAGGAGAAATGGGCTGCTATTTATAGTAGCAATAAATGCGATGAGAGTACACGTGTCAGTAATCCAACGGCCGAGGGGTCACATCAATCGGGGTGGCACCGACCATCGCACGTTCCCCACATTAAATGCGGTGGGTGGATGTGACGTCGCATTAAATGCGGTGGTTGGCTGTCTCCAAAGGGAATCTTCGATGATTGAGTCCGTTTAGCCGAAGGCTCCTCGCGTAGCCGAGGGCTTTGTGTGGACGAAGGCATTGTGTGGCCGAAGGCTTCATGTATGGCCGAGGGCTTCATGTATGGCCGAGGGCTTCATGTATGGCCGAAGGCTTTATGTATGGCCGAAGGTTCCATGTGTGGCCGAAGGCTCCATATGTGGCCGAAGGCTCCATGTATGGCCGAAGGCTCCCTGTGTGGCCGAAGGCTTCATGTATGGCCGAAGCCTCCCAGTGTAGCTGAAGGCTTGGTTCAGCCGAGGGCTTCCCCTGGTGCCGAGGGCTCCACAGTGCCGAAGGCTCCTGTTTTCTGTCATTTTCTCCCAGTCGCTTCGCATGGTCGAATATGGCAGTTCTGTGAGTTTTGGAGCCTTCGGCCAAGGAGGCCGAAGGCATCCCTGTGTGTACTGTGGGCTTCTTGACGCTTGGGCCGCCGAATCTTGGGCCTCCTGAGCTCCTTGGGCTTGTTGGGCTTGTGATAGATTAGTAGGAGTCTGTGGGCCGGGGGTTCCCGGGCCATATACTCCATCATTATTATTATTATTATTATTATTATTATTATTATTATTATTATTATTATTATTATTATTATTATTATTATTATTATTATTATTATTATTATTATTATTATTATTATTATTATTATTATTATTATTATTATTATTATTATTATTATTATTATTATTATTATTATTATTATTATTATTATTATTATTATTATTATTATTATTATTATTATTATTATTATTATTATTATTATTATTATTATTATTATTATTATTATTATTATTATTATTATTATTATTATTATTATTATTATTATTATTATTATTATTATTATTATTATTATTATTATTATTATTATTATTATTATTATTATTATTATTATTATTATTATTATTATTATTATTATTATTATTATTATTATTATTATTATTATTATTATTATTATTATTATTATTATTATTATTATTATTATTATTATTATTATTATTATTATTATTATTATTATTATTATTATTATTATTATTATTATTATTATTATTATTATTATTATTATTATTATTATTATTATTATTATTATTATTATTATTATTATTATTATTATTATTATTATTATTATTTGTAGTTTCTTGAATATATTTTAATTCCAAATTAAACTCAACAAATTACTAACTTTATAATTATAAATGCATTTTAATTAAGTATAATAAATCTAATTTATTTTACTTAATTAATCCTATCAAATAGAACTCTCCTTCAACTTTCTGAATTAAATATGTTTAATCTAATTAATATTTAATTCATTTCTAGTATTACGAATTAAATATTATTTAATCCAATTAATAATATTTAATTCCTTCTAACAATTCAATCGGAAGGTATAACCACTTGTTGTGTGACCCATAGGGCCACATATATTAAGCACTAATCAAATTAGGTCTTAGTAGAATCCCTAGACGATTTACCTGACAAACTTAATATATAAGAACGTTTGCACCGAGTGATAATTTGATCGTGTAACCGGACGTATACACAAAAAATAACTATAGAGACGTCTAATTTTGTTTTAGGGTGACATGGAGTAACACCGAGTGGCCAGTACCGACTACAAGGAAACAGGCTACAAGGGACAAGCTCTGATAGATCATGCAACGTGGACATGAATTCTCGTGGTAAATGATGTGAGCGACTATTGCACTATATAAACCCGCCAAACCTCTGCCGTCACGGATTATTTTACTGTTAATTCTCACTCTTTCCCACTCCTCTATCCCCTCCCAATCTCACTCACATAATGGCGCTCAAATGGAGGAGGAATAAACCTCCGCTTTCCTCAATCTCCGCCATCGCCGTGAACCTCCTCCTCTGTCAGATTTTACTTTTTGCGGCGGCGGCGACACCGCCCACGTCCAGTCCGATTAAGACTGTGGTCGTGTTGGTAATGGAGAACCGCTCCTTCGACCATATGCTGGGATGGATGAAGCAGAAGGTCAACCCGGAGATTGACGGCGTCGACGGGTCTCAGTCCAACCCGATTTCCACGTCTGACCCGAATTCGACCCGGATCTTCTTCAGCAATACGGCGCACTTCGTTGATCCGGACCCGGGGCACTCGTTCCAGGCCATCCGCGAGCAGGTATTTGGATCCAGCAACGAGACTTCCTCAGATCCGCCGCCCATGAACGGATTCGTTCAGCAGGCCGCCTCGCTAGATCCGAATATGTCTCGGAGCGTGATGAACGGGTTCGACCCGGACATGGTCGGGGTTTACAAGGCCCTGGTGTCGGAATTCGCGGTGTTCGACCGGTGGTTCGCCTCCGTCCCGGCCTCCACCCAGCCGAATCGCCTCTACGTCCACTCCGCCACCTCCCACGGCGCGACATCGAACGTCGCGCACCTCTTGGCGGAAGGATACCCGCAGCGCACGATCTTCGACAGCCTGAGCGAGGCCGGCGTGGATTTCGGGATCTACTACCAGAACATTCCGGCGACGCTGTTCTACCGGAATCTGAGGAAATTGAAGTACACATTCAAGTTCCGGCCGTACGGGCTGTGCTTCGAAAGCGACGCGAGGAAGGGGAAGCTGCCGGGGTATGTTGTGGTGGAGCAGCGGTACATAGATTCGAAGGTGGAGCCGGCGAACGACGACCACCCGTCGCACGATGTGTACCAGGGCCAGATGTTCGTGAAGGAGGTGTACGAGACGCTGAGGTCCAGCCCGCAGTGGAACCAGACCCTCCTCCTGATTACGTATGATGAGCATGGAGGGTTCTACGATCATGTCCCCACACCCGTGAGTGGTATCCCCAGCCCCGACGGAATTGTGGGGCCCGACCCGTTCTATTTCAATTTTGACCGGCTGGGCGTTCGGGTCCCAACCATTGCCGTTTCCCCCTGGATAGAGAAGGGCACTGGTATATTCTTCATATTAGTGTCGCATAATAATATCAAAATAAATATGGCACTGTTAATGGATTCGGATTTAGAGAAAAACATACTAGTAGTACTAGTGTAATACCACGAATTTGATAAATTTATCTTTTAGTAATTATTCCTATTTAGAATAAAAAATAAATGCAGTATTTTTTTTAAAGAAAAAATAAATGCAGTATTCTAGATCACATTTGTAATTTTTCATTTAATTGCTCGCAGTGGTTCATGGGCCCAATGGATCGCCATTTTCGAACTCGGAGTATGAGCATTCGTCCATTCCGGCAACGGTGAAGAAGATCTTCAATCTGCCGTCGCCGTTTCTGACGAGGAGGGATGCCTGGGCCGGCACTTTTGAGTCCATTCTTCAGAAACGGAAAGAACCAAGAACGGATTGCCCAGGTTAGCCGCACACTTAAAACTATCTGGTTTTAATGACCACTTTTATTTTTGTTGTTCCTGAAAGAGTGATCGACTAGATTTGCGCATTACGTAACCTATCCAAGTTGATTAGCATTACCTAACAATAACATCATTCAAGTCACTGACACACTTAAATGTTAATGCTTGAATATTTATTGTTAACTATAACTATAATTGAGTATGATTTTCTACCTTAAAAGTTACGGACTACTCCGTAATTTGGATTGGAAGTTAATTCCAAAACAAATATTCCTTATATGTTCGCCCCAAAACAAATACTATCGTATATAAAAGTTATACTCCATCTTTCCCTAAATAAACTTTCAACTTTTCTTTTTCGTCCGTCTCAATTAGAACTTCCACTATCCCTTTTTGGTAAATAATTTGTGGTTCACATTTCACAATATTTTTTACACATTTCTCCCTCCTCTGCACAACTCTCCACCACACGATACTCACTATCTTAAATTGTGTGTCCAACCCATTTGAAAGTTTTATTAGTAGTAATTGTCTATGGTAGTATGGTTGGTAATTAAAAGTTAATTCCCAGTCCCAAGACAAATACGATAGTATATGTTCGCCCCAATGTAACTTAAGGAGTGGAAGGTTTGAAAAGTGATTTATTTTAAAAATGATACGAAAAGTGGTCAATAGCAAGTAGATGTGGGTAATGTTTGAAAAGTAAGTTAGAGTGTTGGGAGAAAAAGTATTTTGTTTGTAATGAAAAAGTGAAAAACTATATTTGGTGTGTAATACTTAAACAAAAGCATCTCTGTGAATATATTGAGCCCGTTTGGTGACTCTGATTTTCGGCTTATCAGGTTTGTTAGCCAACTTTTTAACATAATTTTTGATTTCGCGTATTGAATTGTGTAATAATAAGAAAAAGTAAGGTTGATGTAACTTTTCTAGCTGTATTGGCTGAAGTTACCATAGATGACCATTTTAACTATTTTCATCTAATTTGTTCTTTATTTTATTAATAAAATATATTTTAAGTATAATTTATTCATAAATCAACAGAATCAGCCAATACAGTCACTTCAGTCAGAACTTCAGAAATTTCATCAGAATCAGCCGATTCAGCCAATTTCAGTGTTACCAAACGGGCTCATTATTACTTGTAGCTACTATTAAATAAAAAACTAACAAACACTTCCAATTTGTTCGGAACCCTCTTTTTACAACCTCCACTCTTTAATCAATTCTTCTTGTTCACACACTCACAGTTCACACAGTTCCTCAATAGTTTTCTCTTTAATTTCTCATTTTATATTCTAACTTTGTTCGCTGAAAGAATAACTCACTATGTCTATAACTCACTATGTCTATAACTCACTTCTTTGTTAAAAAAATGAGTTTTTTTCGAATTAATGTTAATTAATTAATTAATTACGAAAATAATGTTGGAAAAAAAGTATTTACCAATATACTGTTGGGCCTTAACCACGGTCAGGAGTAAGTCGCCCAACGGTTGGGCGACTTATAAGTCGCCAAACGGTTTGGCGACTTATAAGTCGCCCAACCGTTGGGCGACTTACTCCTGAAATATGGTTGAAGGCGAGCAGCTACTGCCAGCCACGCACGATCGTGCGTACCCTGGGACGCACGATCGTGCCTAGGTCCAAAAACAGCATTTCAGCAGATTTTTCGCCCCAATTTAACCCGGACTTATCTGTTTGCTATAAATAAGGTCTCTCTTCTCCTGTTTAAGTGTTACGTGCCAGATACAACACATTATAAAACACATTATAAAACATACAACACACGTATTCTCAATCACATACATAACACCTCCTCTCATCAACATAAAAATCACCTTGAAAATAACCGGTATAACACAGTACAATCATCCAATATTCATAACAAGTAATCATCTAATATTCAGACTCGAACACATCAAGACAACATACAAGACTTTACAAGAGAAAATACGTCAAATGTTGTAAATTGTTCCTACAACATCTACTGCATAAGAAAAACTACAATACAAAAGATAGACTAGAAGTTCCCATCGTCAGCTTCGTCATGGAGATGTTGCTGCTCCTGTCTACGCCTACGTCGTTGTCGTGGTTGAAGAACCACTCTCTCATGCTGCGTCTGGGATGATGAAGCCGCCGCTGCACAGACGTGGATGGCATCTCCTGAGATGGGGGCATGTGTATAAGATGGCCGTAGTCGACTCGCCCCAACACATCTGAACACAAGGACGCAATGCCTGTGAGAGCCTGTCCATACAAGTCCACATCAGGACTATCAGTCACTGTGGTAGTAGCCCGCTGATGTATGCGCTGCAAAGCTTGTGTCTGAAATATGAAACACAATTACATTTACATTGAAATATATACAAATATTACATAAATAAAATGACTTACTTTACTAATTAGTAATATACTCACCGTAAGATGCAAAGCTAAGGAACTAGGCTGATAATGATGAGTAGGGAGTCTGAACGAAGGAGACACAAACAAACGAGTGATGCTGTAATACCATCCCATGCAGTCTCCTGAAACAGATGGCACATATGTCGGTGTCCCGGCCACAACTAGCTCAGCTCTCCTTTCCCACATAGTCACATATCGGACATGTCTGAGTGCCCAATCCTCTGTATGCTTCCCACGCCTATCCAGCCTATGCAGCTCAACATAAATGTCGATAGGCCGTGGAACCACCTGCTCAAACCCAAACTGTCTCAAGACTCTATCAGGCAAATGAAGCTCAACAATGTCAAAACATATCAACGACACACGTGCTCGCCATATGTGAGTATGCTCTCGTTCAGCTGGGGGCAACTCTGCTAACATCTCAGGTGTAAACGGCATCCATGTAATCTGTTTCATAAAGATACAAAATTAGGAGATTTTCTTTACATATTATAGTTAATGTTATACTACCCACACCATACCTGGTCCTCAGACATCCGATCAAATGCATCCCTGTACACACCGAGCCCAGTAGCGGATGACATGCGAGATAGACCAGCATATAGCCATCTAACCATTCATGTAACAGTATCATTAATATGGATATTATTAATGTATTTACACACAACATACACTCACATTAATACAAACGATTGAAAACATACCGACGGCCTACAGGGTCCTCGCCCCGTACATGATGAGGTCCTAGAAGACGTGGAGTCTCATCAGGCAGTGGCTGTCCATCAATGCCATGATATCCGACTATAATGGGACGGCCAATGTGGATATACTCCCATGACCAAATCTGGAGGAGTAGCAAAAATCCCCCAAGCTCTGTGCTCCCTCTCTGGCAGCCGCGACAAAGCTGTCTGTACAGGTAAGCCAGGGTGGCAGTACCCCAGCTGAACTGTGCTGCTACATCAAACCTCTCTAGCAAAGGCTAGTGCAGCACCTGAACCTCATTTCCGCTCTTGTCAGCGAAAATGGAGGCTCCCATCATCATCAATATATAAGCCCGAGCATGCTGCTGGATCATCACCTCATCAGCGTCGGGGGGAAGCACCTGGAAGTGCTCCCTCAACCATGGCATCCTCAGAGATGACCCCTGAAGGTCAGTCCTAAGAACGGGGCGGATACCTAACAACCGCTCACACTCATCCACCCACTGTCGACAAGCAGTGCCTGTAACAGCTCTCCCATGAACCTCTAACCTGGTAAGTACAGCAACATCTCCCAATGTCACTGTCACCTCACCAACTGGGAGGTGAAATGAGTGTGTCTCCTGCCTCCAACGCTCAAGTAGAGCAGTGAGAAGCGCTCTATCTAGAGGCACAGTAGCCACTAATCTGTGAAGAGTATAAAAACCTGCAGCACCAACATACGCTAGTACCCTGTCGTCGACGTGCAAATGCGACAAACCCCGAAGGTGCTCGCGGCACCTATCCACCTGAACATCCATGCCAAGCCAAACATCCTCACTCCTGTGCGAGGCCTGCAATGTCAGGACAGAACGATCACTCGGCCCAGGATCCGCTGTCACCTCCATGCCTACACACAAACAAAAATTGTATTAGTTCTTATTCAATAATATATTAATTTTTTTTAACATCCTTTTTGAAATGATTATTTTTTCTTTCAACGAAAACATTAATTGTGAAGGTGTCAAGGTTGCCTTTGTTCTTTGTGACGCGTATTCTCCAGGGGCAATCACATTCTTTCTTCCTTTTGCATTGTGCCACCCACTTGTATTTATCGGACTCTATCACCCGATAAAATTGGTTCCGTTTGATAGAATACAAGCTCACCATATTGATGACTTGTTCTTTGTTGTCAAACTGTTGACCGACCTCAAACTCACCATCGGGGGTAAACCTTTTCTCACCTGATCCACTCATCCATGCATCAGTAAACCCTTCAGGGAGATCATAAATTCTAGTAAAATGGCTAGACGAGGCTGTTTTCGTGACAGTATCACCATCATCTTCATCAGATTCTGTCATGTCATCACCATTGATGTTCTTGTCAGCATCATCATCAGTTCCCTGCCCATCCACAAATGATGCACCGTTGTGCAAATACCTACCATCTTCCTGTATAACCATGTCCAGTACAGGAGCCTTTGAGGAGTTCCCTGCATTCACACCTGCATTGACATCATGCGTAGATACGACAACATTTGATGTTGATTGAGTACCATAGACGTCACAGGATTCCTCAATGTATAACTCAAGCGTCGACATATCTTTCATCTGAGTTATGCCCCACATATTTGTTATAGCTAGCTCATCAATGAGGGGCATAAACATGTACTTTCCCCCATTCATGGGAAATTTCATTTTCAACCGCAAAGAACGGCTAGGATGAATCATTGTGGCTGCATGTATTTTTTGAAGGATCTCCAGCATGCAAGCGCCACGAGAAACCATGACAAAGCTGGTTCTACCACCTTCAAGGCATATTTGGCCAGCATCCTCATAATAGTTTCCTCCCCAATGACATATGATTGGGAAGCTTGAGAAATCCATATATTCTAATAACAATTCATTGTCCAACATTCATGAGTAGGCATCAATATACACACTTTAAACACAATCAAATTTTCAATAGAAAAAACTACCAAAATTGTAATATATGCAAAAGTCAAAATTCACAAACAATTCACATTTGAATATGAAACTACCAAAATTTTGATATCTACATTCACGTCTAACTTTCAATACCCAAATTTAGCTACATTCGAGTCTACCCAAATGACCAAATGTCAAAATACGCATTAAAATTTACAATCAATTTAAAATCAAATTTCAACCATTCATACATATCCACATTTCACAACAACTTAATTCAAAATCAATTCATAATCCAAAAATTCGAAATTTTTAACATTCAAAACCCTAAGTTCAAAATGAGATGAAATGGAGTTTTATTTACCTAGAAGAAAGAAGGAGTGTTGCAGAAGAAGATGAAGGTTAGCCGGAGTGGGGAGGCCGGAGATGGAGCTTCGCCGGAGTTGGATACGAGCTCGCGGTCGTCTGGTCGTTCGTCTGTCGTCCGTGCGCCTTGGGGGGGAATTGGGGATGAGTTTTACGCAGTGTTCTGTTTTGGGGCTTGACCCGATTTTTTACTTAAGGGAAAGTCGCCCAACGGTTGGGCGACTTATAAAGTTATAAGTCGCCAAACCGTTTGGCGACTTATAAGTCGCCCAACCGTTGGGCGACTTTTCCCGACCATGGTTAAACCAGCAGTATTTTGGTAAATACTTTTAACCCAACCATATTTTCGTAATTAATTAATTAATTAACATTAATTCAAAAAAAAACTCTAAAAAACTTATTTCAAATGTGTCCATAACTCAAAAGCGTCTCAAATGATTGTTGTGCCATGGATGTTGTTAGAGATTTTATTGTATTCCTTAATAAGATATTTTTAAAGTTATTCCTCACGTTGCATAACAATTGTAGCTCTTACACGCACTTTGCAAATGCAATTTTCCCAAGTATTTCCGAAGAATGAGCTTTTTTAACTTCAACTCTATCTTGAATTGGACCTCAGTTTGCCCTAAAATAAGTGCCAATTTAGCTTTTTAATGTGATACGGCCTCTCCAGGTCTCCTTTAAACCTTTGCAAGTTTGGCCTGAATAGAAATAAGAATCAAAATTAGGTTATGATTTATCAACCATGGTAGAGGTATCCATTTTGGGGCACCCCTTTCTTACACCACACATTGTGTGGTCCAAATGAGGCCACACTTAAAAGTGTTGCCCCACTTAAAAGTATTGCTCCAATTGTGGCCACACAATAGGGGTGTAAGAATGGGGTACCCCAAAATGTGGTACCTTTAGCATTTTTGATGATTTATTTCAAAAAGAGAACCAACATGAAAGTAGTTTTTTTCTTAAAAGAAGATTGACGAAGTTTTGAGCAAGTACCATATCAAGTAAGTTTGGCAAACTATACGGAAACAATATTAATCATCTTTCTTCTTTTTCTACCCTTACTTATGAGTCTAACTAGCAATTGTTACTAGTTAAATCTTAATATAACTTCATCACTCTCTCCTTTAACACTGTGCAAGTTTGGCTTGGATAGAGATCATAATTAAATTTAGTTAAGATAATGCCTTATCTTTCAGTTTGGGTCAAATCCTACCCTGATACTATATCTTTTTATGGGGAAGATAGCCTGGTTCGATACACTTGCCAGACTGTTTTTCCTTCCAAGTTTGAGGCTGATTAATAGCCGGGCTAGTGGGTTTTTGCGGGTTGGGACTGACTTACGGGTTACAATTGTTCTGGCCTAGTATTCTAAGTGGGTCAGAGGCTGGTTTCCGGGCTGACCCGTACGTCTGGCTGGTCTATGCCTGCTAACATAAAAATCACATGTGCCTTTGATCCAACACTGAATCTGCGTTGCTAATTCTTAATTAAGCATTCTGCACATTCAAACATTTTTTGCACATTATATTTTTGCTCCTTAATTGTTTATTATTCTCTGAGCAGAGGAACTCCCAACTCCAAAAAAGATCAGGAATGGAGAGCCAAATGTAGATGCCAATATTAGCGAATTCCAGCAAGAACTTGTGCAGCTCGCTGCGGTGCTAAACGGAGACTATCTCCTCACAAGTTATCCGGAGAATATAGGCCGGGGAATGACTGTAAGCCAAGGTAAAAAATACTTGGAAGATGCTGTTCAGCGCTTTTTTGAGGCCGGGTCATCTGCTCAGGCAATGGGAGTTCATGGAGACCAAATCATCCAAATGAGACCTTCTCTTACTACAAGAAGATCACCCAATCTTTCTTCTCCTTCAGATCGTCCTTAGCTTTGATCACATGAAATACTCATCCGTCATCAATTCAACCCATTATACTGATGCATTCTTCTCTATGTCCCGTGACATTGTACATTACACATATCTCCTCATTTTTTTCTTTCTTTTGGAAAATATGAGGTTTAACTATGTTCACATCAACATAGTTACACGCAAGGAACAATGTCATAAAATGATAAAAGCACAGTACAAATTTAGGAGCTAGTTATTTGTATTATGTACAATAGTGTGTGTATCACAGTGTATGTATGTATGTTCCAATTAGAAGAGTGCGAAATGTTAATACATGTGGCGTTAAAATCAACCATTTGTGTAATATACAATACAATATGAAAGACTAATATTCATGCCAATTTAGGCATGGACCGGTTCTGGTCTAACCGGCCCCACCCGCCACTGTGCGGGCCTGGACCGGCCTGGGAACTGGGCCTAGCCCCCCCCGGGGTGTTAGGGCAGGGCGGTTCTGAGTTTGCCCTTCTTTTGGAACCGGCCTGGGCCTATAATTTCTTTTCTTGTTTTTTCCTTTTTTTGTTGTAGGCGGGTTGGGTTGGGTGTTTTGGGGGGTGTTTTTTTGGGGGGTGAGGGTTGGGGGTGGGGGGGTGAGGGGGGGTAGGGTTGGGGGAGCCTAAACAATCTATAAACACTCACCCAATTTCAGTAATTTACATACTTCTTCATTGTCTCATTCTTTGTACTCCTAATCTCATGTTATCTTCTCTACTTACACATTCCTTATTTTACATTTATATTTAAGAGTACTCTTCATGTCCGTCCGGCCGAGCCGGTTTGGGGGTCTTCCCGGTGGAATTTTTCGGTGAAATTTTTGAGCATGTTGTTCATCAAGTCTAGTTTATCCATACCAAAATTCAGCTAAAAATTCAATCGGGAAGTCAGTCAAATGATTTTCTGAAAAATACTGCGCTGTTTATATATATTAACCGCGCATCGTTCATAAATAATTTATTTGACTGCCTTCCCAATAGAATTTGTTTTCTGAAATTTGGTATGAGTAAACTAGACTTGATGAAGAACATGATCAAAAAAATTCATTGAAAAATTCCACCGGGTGGGCCCCCAAATGTGCTCGGCCGGACTGCTTCCCCGGTTAGGCCGGCCTGACAGGAAGTTTCGTCTTATATTTAATTTAATATATACTTATATATACTTATATATTGCCTTTTTTACTCTAGGGGAGAGGGGGGCTGGGGGCCCTGAAGTAATCAGGGCTCACACTCACTCCATTGAGTTTCGAACCCTTATGTGCCTAGCGGGTATCGAACTCGAGACCTCCTACTAGGCACGGTAACCTCACAACCAGCTGGAATGCTTGGTTATACATATATATTACGTAGTAATATATATTTGGTCCTATTAATTTGGTTAACACAAATCACTTGTAATCTCTTTCTTTATAAATCAAAATTTTATCAAATTTGACTCCGGTTTTTGGAGATTTTTTCCGTATTAATGTTAATTAATTAATTAATTACGAAAATAGGGTCTGGTTAAAAGTATTTACCAAAATACTGCTGGATTAACCATGGTCGGGGTAAGTCGCCCAACCGTTGGGCGACTTATAAGTCGCCAAAACCGTTTGGCGACTTATAAGTCGCCCAACGGTTGGGCGACTTACCCTTAAGTAAAAATCGGGTCTCGCCCCAAAAACAGAACACTGCGTAAATTATCCCCAAATCCCCCCAACGCCCAGCGAACGACGAACACGACCGACGAAGACCACCGAGCTCATTTCCAACTCCGGCGAAGCTCCATCTCCGGCCTCCACACTCCGGCAAACCTTCATCTTCTTCTGCAACACTCTTTCTTCTTCTTTCTTGTAGGTAAATCAAACTCCATTTCATCTCATTTTTAACTTAGGGTTTTGAATCTTAAAATTTTCGATTTTTTGGATTATGAATTGATTGTGAATTAAGTTGTTGTGAAATGTGGATATGTATGAAATGTTAAAATTTGATTTTAAATTGATTGTAAATTTTAATGTGTATTTTGACATTTGGGCATTTTGGTAGACTTGAATGTTGCTAAATTTGGGTATTGAAAGGTAGATGTGAATGTAGATATCAAAATTTTGGTAGTTTCATATTGAAATGTGAATTGTTTGTGAATTTTGACTTTTGGATATGTTTCAATTTTGGTAGTTATTTCTATTGAAAATTTGAATGTGTATAAAGTGTGTATATTGATGCCTACTCATGAATGTTGGACAACGAATTGTTATTAGAATATGGATTTCTCAAGTTTCCCAATCATATGTCATTGGGGAGGGAACTATTATGAGGATGCTGGGCAAATATGCCATGAAGGTGGTAGAACCAGCTTTGTCATGGTTTCTCGTGGCGCATGCATGCTGGAGATCCTTCAAAAAATACATGCAGCCACAATGATTCATCCTAGCCGTTCTTTGCGGTTGAAAATGAAATTTCCCATGAACGGGGGAAATTTCATGCTTATGCCCCTCATTGATGAGCTAGCTATAACAAATATGTGGGGCATAACTCATATGGAGGATATGTCGACGCTTGAGATATACATTGAGGAATCATGTGACGCTTATGCTACTCAATCAACATCAAATGCTGTCGTATCTACGCATGATCTCAATGCAGGGGGGACTGCAGGGAACTCCTCAAAGGCTCCTGTACTGGACATGGTTATACAGGAAGATGGTAGGTATTTGCACAACGGTGCATCATTTGTTGATGGGCAGGGAAATGATGATGATGCTGACGAGAACGTCAATGGTGATGACATGACAGAATCTGATGAAGATGATGGTGATACTTTCACGAAAACTGCCCCGTCTAGCCACTTTACTAGAATGTATGATCTCCCTGAAGGCTTTACTGATGCGTGGATGAGTGGATCAGGTGAGAAAAGGTTTACCCCCGATGGTGAGTTTGAGGTCGGTCAACAGTTTGACAACAAAGAACAAGTCATCAATATGGTGAGCTTGTATTCTATCAAACGGAACCAATTTTTTCGGGTGATAGAGTCCGATAAACACAAGTGGGTGGCACAATGCAAAAGGAAGAAACAATGTGATTGCCCCTGGAGAATACGTGCCACAAAGAACAAAGGCAACCTTGTCACCTTCACAATTGTGCGTTATCTTGGACCTCATTCTGCTACGTGTGTTGGCAACACCGACACTACCGATCACGTGGCTTTGACTTCAGATTTCATCTCTAAAGATGTGATAGACATTGTTCGCACTGATCCTTCTCTTAAAGTGCATACTATCATTGAGATGTTGAAGGAAAAATATGGGTATACGGTATCATACCGGAGAACATGGATGGGGAAGCAAAAGGCCATAGCAGATATATTTGGCGGTTGGGAGAAGTCATATTCTGAAATGCCCCGTTTCATGACAGCGCTCCAACATTCAAATCCTGGAACTATTGTTCAGTGGTACCCACCCCCCAATACTCCAACAGGTCATATGCAGTTTCAAAGAGTATTTTGGGCATTCAAGGCATCAATAAATGGTTCTAAGCATTGTCGCCCCGTACTTACTATTGATGGCACACACTTGTATGGAAAGTACAAGGGTACATTGCTCGTGGCCATGGGTTGTGATGCGAACAACCAAATATTTCCAGTGGCCTTTGCGGTTGTGGAATCTGAGAATGGAGATAGTTGGCCATGGTTTATGGCATGTATTAGGCAGTTTGTGACTAACAGGGAGTTGTGTGTCATTTCAGATAGACATGGAGGTATTGTCAGGGCAATGAATGAGGTGAGCAGTACTTGGGAGGAGCCTTATGCGCATCATAGGCTTTGCATCCGCCATCTTGCATCAAATGTACAGACTCATTTCAAAGACATTCATCTAAAAAATCTTTTTGTCTGGACCGCACGGCAACATCAGAAAAAGAAATTTGATGGGGGGTTCAAGAAGATAGGTGAAATGAGTTTGGAGGCACGACACTTTTTGGCCAACATTCCTCCGGAAATGTGGTCACTGCACCACGATGGCGGGTATAGATATGGTACCATCACTTCAAATCTGGCAGAGGTTTTCAATAGCGTCATGAAAAATGCTAGATATTTGCCCATCACCGCCTTGGTGCAGGTTTCTTTTTACCGGGTTAACGCATATTTTGTTACTAGGCGTGAAACCAGTAAATTGAGGCTCACACAAGGCCACGAGTACTCCCCACACATCACAGATTTAATTGAAAAAAATAGAGAGAAGGCAAAGCATCACAGTGTCACTCCATTTGATTTAGGTCGAGGTATATTTCAGGTGGAAACCGGTTGTGGTGGCCGAACATTGGGAAAGGGTGGGAGAAAACAAACAGTCCATCTACAACGGAAAACTTGCACTTGTAAAAAGATGGAGATATATAAGATTCCATGCTCCCATGTGTTAGCCGTGTGTAGACAACGTAGTTTGTCTTATGCTCCATTTGTGGATAAGTTTTTCTCATCTGACCAATACGCCGCCACTTATCATAGAGTCTTCAAACCGATTCCTGATCGTGATTATTGGCCTACTTACAATGGACCCGAAATTGTGCATGATCCATCCATGCTACGGGCTAAGGGAAGACCAAAGTCGACACGTATTAAGAATGAGATGGATGAAGGTCCACGAGGAACGGTTAGATGTGGAAAATGCCACCAAACCGGCCATAATAGAGCCACATGTGCGAAGAGATCGTCTAGAAACGAGGGGGGTTCCGCTGGGTAAGGTTCTATTTAGAGTGAATTACAACTAATGTTTTCGTTGAAAGAAAAAATAATCATTTCAAAAAAGGATGTTAAAAAAAATTAATATATTATTGAATAAGAACTAATACAAATTTTGTTTGTGTGTAGGCATGGAGGTGACAGCGGATCCTGGGCCGAGTGATCGTTCTGTCCTGACATTGCAGGCCTCGCACAGGAGTGAGGATGTTTGGCTTGGCATGGATGTTCAGGTGGATAGGTGCCGCGAGCACCTGCGGGGTTTGTCGCATTTGCACGTCGACGACAGGGTACTAGCGTATGTTGGTGCTGCAGGTTTTTATACTCTTCACAGATTAGTGGCTACTGTGCCTCTAGATAGAGCGCTTCTCACTGCTCTACTTGAGCGTTGGAGGCAGGAGACACACTCATTTCACCTCCCAGTTGGTGAGGTGACAGTGACATTGGGAGATGTTGCTGTACTTACCGGGTTAGAGGTTCATGGGAGAGCTGTTACAGGCACAGCTTGTCGACAGTGGGTGGATGAGTGTGAGCGGTTGTTAGGTTTCCGCCCCGTTCTTAGGAGATGAAATGGAGTTTGATTTACCTACAAGAAAGAAGAAGAAAGAGTGT